CCCCAACCATCCTTTCACATTTAATCAAATGCAAGGTAAAAGTCATCACTGAAATTGCGCCTGATTTATAAATAAGTTAATTGGTGGCATTCTCCCTCTCCTGTCGGTGGACACGGCTGTGTTTTTATTGCCTAGTCAAAACCTCCTCATGCAATTTTCAAAATGGCCCTCGAAATGAAATTTTCCTCCCAGCTTGTGAGGCAGCTCCATCGCTCATACCTTGCCGCAACCACCTTCTTGTCATCTCTTTAGTGCAGCTTTATGTAGCCTGGCTCTCCTGTCCACATCTGTTAGTTAATTCATCCATTGCGAAACTCTTCCCTGGCACTTTTATCAATGGCTAATCTAATGGAGGTGAACTGCTGAGTGACTGCTCTCATTGATACTCTGTCTTTCTCAGGGACGTTTAGAGAATAATAATGGCATATTTGGATGTTTCATATTTGGATGGCCATTGATTGCTGCTGAATGCATATTTACTGAAATGGGTACGGGATTAGAGCATTGCGTCTGAAATGACAACTTCAAAAGAGTGAACGGCGAATGCTCTGTGGACGTTTATTTTGTGGCTTTAACAGCTTTCTTTGAAAGTTCTTCCATTCAAACCACAATTTACCTATCTGTGTTTGACTAATGCTTCCCGAACTTGTTTTCATCTAGATGAAAGTGCAGTCAAAATGCACAAACACATGCACACTTGTGTCCTGTACCCAGAAACACTCTTAACACAGTTGAGAAGATAAAGAACCAATGAAAAAAGAAAAGAAAAAAAAACATTTTTGCTTTCTCTTCTCATGTAATTATTTATGACCAGTACACAACTAACTCGGAAAAAGTGAGCGGTAGAAATACACCCAACATTGTGGTGAGTCAAGGCGGCAATCTGTATGTAACTCAGAGAAAAACTCTCTTTACACTTGACTGCCTTTACAACCCCCTTTGTTTTGAAGTCGATGAGTTCTCCAGCACTTGGAAGGATCCACCTATATTATAAACATATTGTGGGAAGTCGTGCTAAATCGGTTAGTAGTTCGTCATGTTGTATTGCTTCCCTACACCACAAAGACTTTGGCTCTCTGAAATACACATATAAGTGCCACTTAGGACATCCAATTTATTCAAGTCAATTTAATAAACTGTACTATATTTTATTTTATCCTATTTGGCAAAACTTTATAATAACTTTCATTTATAAATCATTAATAAACATTATATACTGCTTAACAGATCATTAGTTAATATATATTCACATAGCTAGAAACATGAGATAATGTGCTTGTTAATGTTTACTAATGAACCTACTAAACATGACATAATGATTAACATATGATTATTTAATGTAAATTGAAATACTTAGAAATAGGGATGCACCGATACCATTTTTTCCAGTCCTCGCCCGATACCGATACTTTTATTTTTGGTACTTGCCGATACCGAGTACCGATACCGATATTTTTATTGCATTTGTACATTTTTTAAATATTGGGTACAGAAACAAAAAGGGTATGTATAATGTTAGTTGGTTAACTTCATTTATCAAATAGATACAGTCAAACCAAAATTTATTCAGACACCTTCAACATTTCTCACATTATCACAGTTTATTCGCTATAGTTTAGAAAATGGTAATAAAATATAACAAGAACTCAGAGTTAATCTGTGTCAGAACAAATTCAGCTTGATAATGTTAGATAATTTTGATAGAAAGGTATGCAATAGATTACAATCAACCAAAATAATTCAGACAGCTGTTAGTATGACAGTATTTACACAACTATCAATACTTTGTCGGGTGACCCTTAGCCTTAATGACAGCCTGTAGTCTCCTGGGCATGCTGTCAGCCAGCTTCATGCAAACCTCAACTTCAATGTTTTAGTGGGCTGCTTTGCTTTGGCTCTCTTTGCAACAGGTTCTTTTACACTGTTATTCTCACATCTGAAGTAAAAAAGCAAGCATGCTGTTTACACAACTTTCATCTGAAACGTGCTGCGATTTATTTTCCAAAGCCACTCATATCATGCAGAAACACTCGAGCAAGCAAAACACGCACAACGCGTGCAGGTATTTGTACTGGTGCAGAATGAGAGGACAGTAGTACAGCCTAGCGCATTTCACACAGGCTGTTAGATTCACTTTCGCCAGAAAGTCGTGTATGTATTTTAATCCAAATGATGCGCGTGCTAAGTAAGTGAACGTCAAAGATCACACAACAGAATTGCGCGCGCTCT